TAAATTTTTCAACTAAATTGCATGGAAAAAATTTTCAAAAATTCATACCCAGTCAGTATTATCTAAATTAAATTTCCCAAAATATTGATATTTTTTCAAACATTTCCCTCTTATAAATAAATAATAAAACTTGTTTGCAAAATGGTGGATTATTTTTTATGAGGTGTCAAAAAAATTCTTGATTTTTTCACATCTAATGAAAAAAAATTCAGATTTTAATCTTTGATTACAATGAAAATGTTGATTTTCACATAAGACACCGGGTTAAATCCTGATTTTTAAACATTTCTTCTTTGAAAAACCAAAACGATAATTAAATTGGGAAAAAAATTAGAATTCCGAATCTAATCGAGTTCCCTGCAATTTTTTTGCAGTTTTCAATAATCTTTGAATTTACCGTAAGGGTAGAGCTACTTTAAACCTAACAAGAATGTCATGAAATCCACACTAATCACTAATAACTAATGAATTTGTCATTCATGACACAAAATTGAAGCTGTGTTTTCACAAATGAAACCACGCTCGCGGCCGGGGTGGCACCAGTGTAATATATTATTTCTCTGGGTGCATGCTCTACCATTCATGTTATCTTTGAAGTATCAATCTTCCACTCCCACCGAGTCTCGAGGGGTGTTCATGTATAGCATGTGGTTCTCGCCATCCTCCAAGGACTATCCCAGTATTGAAATTCAAAGGGACTGTATGGCCAATGCTCAGGTGAGCCTCACCAAAAAGAATACCTCCTCTATAACCATAAACAGAAATGCTCTCGGGTTACTCCCCTAGTTTTGCCCAACTTTACTTGAATTCCCTCTCCCCCTTGGCAACAGTGTGCAAGTTTTCGCGATTCAAGCCAGTCCCATCTGGATCGCTGGGTATATACGTCGATTTTTATACATGTGTAGACATTTTTTTCCTTTCTACCGGGTAAGAGCAAAGTTTTCCTGGGTGCTAGGGAATTTCAGACACGTATAACCGGGGTTTTTTATACATGAAACAACATAAATATTTTCACAGGAGAAGACTCGTTTCCGGTGAGACTAGAGGAGGGTACATTGACGCTGTGTTGCTCAGTTATTTTTTTGAATAATGTGCATTATTCGACGGGGCAACTTTTCGAAGTGAGAGAGAAGGTTCGTAAATTGAAATTTACTTGGCGGGACGCGCGCGCTGATCTATCACGTCGTTTATTTGTGGGAAGCTTCCTTTTCTTTCTAAACTTTGATACAGCTATGATTTTACGGGGATGCGTTTATGCGGTCTTTCCTTCTCCTTCTCTCCCGAATTTCCTAGAAACTCCTTGCATTCCCTTGAATTTTCCAGAAACACCTTGAACTCTCTGAAATGAAAAGCTTTCCATTTACAAGAATTTTCTAAAAACTTCTTGAATCCTCTCGAAATTTCTAAAAAATTCTCAAATTCTTTGATTTTTCTTGAAACTCCCTGAATTCCTTCGAAATTTCTAGAAACTCCTGGAATTCCCTCGAATTCTACAGAAATTCCTTCAATTGTTTCGAAATTCGAAGAAACTCCCTTAATTCCCTAGATTTCTCTAAAAATTCCCTGAATTTCCTCGAAATTAGAAATTCCTTGAATTCTCTCGAAATTTCTACAAACTCCTTGCATTCCTTCGAATTTTCTAGGAACTCCCTGAATTTCTTCGAAATTTCTAGAGACCCCTGGAACTCCCTCGAATTCTCTAAAAATTCTCTGAATTTCTTCGAAATGTCTAAAAATTCCTTCAATTGTTTCGAAATTCCGAAAAACTTCCTTAATTCCCCAGATGTCTTTAAAAATTCCCTGAATTTCCTCGAAATATCTAGAAATTCCTTGAATTCTCTCGAAATTTCTACAAACTCCGTGCATTCCGTCGAATTTTCTAGAAACTCCATGAATTTCCTCGAAATTTCTAGAAATTCCTTGCATTTTCTAGAAACTTTTCAAATTCTTTAGAATTTTCTAGAAGTTTCTCGAATTCCTTGGAAATTTCTAGCGACTCCTTGAATTCCCTCGAGTTTTCTAGAAACTCCGTGAATTCTCTGAAATGTTTGAGAAACTCCTGGAATTCCCTCGAATTCTCTAGAATTTCCCTGAACTCCCTCGAAATTCCTAGAAATTTGTTGAATTCCCTCAAAATTCCTAAAAACTCCTTGGATTCCCTTGAATTTTCTAGAAACGTCTTCAATTCCCTTGAATTTTCTGGAAACTTCATGAATTTCCTCAAAATTTCTAGAACCTCCACGTCTTTCCTTGAATTTTCTAGAAACTCTTTGAATTCTCTTGAATTTTCTAAAAACTTGAATCCCCTCGAATGTTTTAGCAACTCTGTGAATTCTCTCGAATGTTATAGAAACTCTTGGAATTCCCTCGAAATATCTACAATTTTCAAGAATTCCGATAAATTGGCGCTGCACATATACGGATCGTTTCCCAAACTGACCCCCCATAATGAAACCATAGCCGTCTTCACGTCAAAAATACCCTCGGCCTATTCTATAAACTCTGAAGAGGATTTTGCCCAGAAAAAATTGCCCGAATTACTTGGATATCTTTAAATAAATTTCATGCACTCATGACTGCATTATGAATGCCTCGATTATGAATATCCTGTTCTAAAAAGATTCCAACGTAACTCAGTGCATTATATTTTTCCATTCGTCGAATATTGAAATAGTATATTACGTGCTAAGGCGGAGAAGTGCTGAATTCAACGCTGGTGGAGTACAGGCGCACGAGGCACGTGAGTCGGAGACGAGGCCGCCGAAGGCAGAGCCCCCCCCACTGAAGAAAAAACAAATTGCAAAAGAAAAAAAAAATCAAATGCATTTAAATTTCCCCGCCACAGCCGGGGAACAACAACTCCAAGAGAAGCCAACAAATCACCATCATCTCTCTGTAATCGTATTCCCCAACCTGTGATCAACGACATCTCACCAATTCCACTTCATGATGTCTCACCAGATCCTGCTCCAAATCTACAGTTGAATCAACTTCTACGTTCCCATCCAAATATCAATCTCAATTTTTACAATTGCTCAAATTTTAAAGTATTTGATAAAGAAAATAAGGAAAATAAGTGAATCTCGAGATCTTAGTTGAGATAGATGGGCATAACTGATTGTTTTGTTAGATTTTATTATTTAAACTATGAGTATTATTCTTGCGTTTACGTTGTAGTTTATTTCAGAGTTTCAATAAAAAATTTTCTATGAAATGATATTTCTAATATTATTATTATCAAAATTAAGATTTTTTAATAATTTATTTTTCATTTTAATTTTCAGGTGTATTTTCAAATTTAAAATTTAACAATTTTGAAGATAATGAAGGGGATTCACTGGCTGAATTTATCAGTTTTTATATGTAGTTTTATATTTTGGTACATTAACGCTGGGGTGGCGCCACACGTTTTTCAGTCCTAAGGAGTGCAATTCTCACTTTTTCACTCCTAAGTAGTGCATTTCTCACTTTTATACTGCTCAACGGTAAAAAGACCTACTTCTCATGCTTAACTACCGTCGGTAAAAGAGCCTTTTTTGGGCTTGAGCAATGAAAACGATATTAATGGATGGATCAATGGATCTCAGTGATATCAACGTACTTACCGAGTAGAATTCAATTAATCGTTTGAACACTGGGTAATGCATATTATAACAAGCAGAGCTTTGCGATAATGAAGCACGAAAATGACGGGAAATGTGGTACGATGTGGCATGTCACAGCATATTAATCATTTGCACTATTATCGGTCTAATGAATCTGTTTATCGTCGACGAATTAACGGGCCTTTTGTAAACGTTTGATAGCGCTGTCGATGAGCTTGAATGAAAATTCACCATTAGTGGTAATATTCTATTCTACGTATATATCTATTTAGGCGAATGTTCGGGATGAGTGGGATTTAGTAAATAGTGAATCCATCCACCGATCATTGAAAGTAGCAATTGATAAGCTGTTGACTGAAAATTTAATGTCATAGTACTCAAGGTTACATTTGGATCAATTTGAATATTCACAATGGGAATAGTAAGGTAATTCGTAAAGGATTTTCACACGTCATATAATTGTCTAATCTAATGACACTATAATTAGAGAATTTGAGAATTTCGTTGTGAAAAATTTTTGAAGAAGACAATTTCAAATGTATGAATCACTTGGAATTTTCGAGAATGTCTAAGACATTTTCACATTTTAAAAAGCTGGAAAAAATGAGAAAGTTTACATTTTGAGAAAGATTGATGAAATAATTAAAAATTGCAATTTTTGACAATCATGAGCATTTTCTATGAATAATTTGTAAGCAATCAAATGAAATTTTCACCATGAAAATAATTTGTTCGGAATCGTAACAAAATTCGCATTCAGAATTTCACTAGAAATCGATTTCATGTCTGAAATAATGTATACAATAACAATTACGGATTAGTTTTTTGAAATTCGACTCCTACGCAGCTAATTTCGTTTTATTTAATAAAAAAATTTACGTCGTGAATGTAAAATACGCAGAAAAATTATCCTTAAAATATTTATAAAAAATCTCGATTGGTTTAGAAACATTTATCGGGCTATTTTACATGAATGTTGCAATTTTTTATTTAAAAAATAACGAAAATAGCTGTTGAGTAGGAGTTGAATTTCAAAAAACTAATTCGTAATTGTTGTTGCACACCTTTTTTTCAAAAATATTGAAGAAAAAAAAGGCTCTGTAGCTGAAAAATTGAAGGCCCTGGACTATTTTCAACATTTTAAAAGTCTGCGAGCAAACGAACAATAAACAATTTTGTTTTCTTTTCTAGACATAATAATCGATTTTCAATGCCTGAGAAATCTCATTCCAATAGCCCGCGACTTTCAAAACTAATAGTACCCCCAGAAAAATGATTGATTTGAATTGAATGAACTTTATTCGAATCAAAGAAATTCTCTATTAGAATCAAGTAAACGATTTATTTGATTCAAATAAAATTTATTTAGTGTAGTCTCCCCTTAAAAATCGCGAAATGTATTCAATTCAATCATCAAATTTGATGATTGAAAATAGCACTTGGATATCCTCGAATAAAATTCTCGCCGCGTCCCACTCCCCTGATCGCCGAGAAAGAAGCTGTCCCCATCCAATATTCTCGAAATTCCAAGCCCATCAACAACCCCCATATCATTACGATATCATCTTATCCCTGACGCTATCAAATTTGTATACACGGTACATCGGTGAATACGGCTTCACTTCTGCATCGTCTCCATCCTCTCCCGGGGGATCGTCTCTGTCGGGTTTTGAGGATCGATATATGCGGCTACTCTGGTACTTCAGTCCATCTGAAAACAATTTATGGAATTAAAAGTCGCCCCCTCCCACCGCCCCGCCGAACGCGAATAAGAAGATAATTCAATTACTTAATGCGCCGGATGTATTATCCTGCCCCGCTGTCTCCTCCCATCGCACAGATTTTTCTCTCCTCGAGCTGCTCTGGGAGTCGTCGCTGGACTCCATCGGGTCCTCGTAGTTCCTCAGAGGAACTGAACCGATGATAATACCCATCCTTATCTTCAGGTTCTTATGGAACATTCGGTAGTACCTGCGACGCGTAGGCATTTTCGTACACGTGAGTGAAGGTGTTTCGTGTGGAATGTCAGAATAATCAAAAAAGTTGAATAGTTCATGTGAGAAATATCCGAGTGTGCTGCATCATTGGGAATTTTTTCATATTTTTGTGGATCTTGGCGTCGAGAAAGAAATTAATGAAGTTTTGGTATTTTTGTAACTTTCTAAAAATTAGTGTAAAAATTAGGGTGCATGTACCGCCCGCCTACGGGAAATGAGTCTTTTTTCCAGCCTCGCACTCTACAAGGAGTCATAAACGGTTAGAATGGGTTCTTCGAGGTGTTTACTCCAAGATGTGAAGAGGACAGATTTTTTATTAACATTAAACATATTTAATTATGTAATTCAATTGCCATCGGCCAGTGAGCGATGGAATCGAACTTTGAGGGTAATACCGCGCGGCATGAGTCCAATACCGCCCACCTTGTTTTGATGACTATTTTGAGCAATGCAGACCAACTGTTATAATTTTTCCTATTTCATCCTTCATTTCCATTCTTTGGCTCCATTTTGAGAAAGATTTCACGTGAATAATAATAAATTATCCTGGATTTACCCGATGTTCCAGTGGCCACCGACTACCCCAAACGATCGAGCTGTCACTCGACCGCCCTCTAGCTGCAGAGTCTAGCAGCCCTATAGAAACCCTGGGCGGCATTACCCACAAACTCTGGGCAGAATTATACCCACAAACGCGGAGGCTGATAAAATAGCCAATAATAACTATGAAGATATTTTTCTGCTATCGGAAAGATCGCAATGGATGTGGAAATGTATAACGAACATATATTTCGTACTCCATTTAATTATGGACCAACTGAAAATTGGAAAAATCTTAAATTTTGAAGTCGAAATATTTTAAGAATTCGATAGGAAATGATTTGGATTTTTTTAACGGTTTCCACAGGAGAAAATTGAAAATTTCTGTTGAAATTACTTGTTATCAAATATCTGCATAGTCATTTGCAACGGTAAAAATAAGGGTCATGAGGGTCAGAATAAGGATTACAAGGGTCAAAATGAGGGTCAATAGGTTCAGAGTAAGGATCATGAGCATCAGAATAAGGGTCACTGGGATCAGATTAAGCATCACAAAGGTCAAATTAAGGGTTATGAGGGTCAGAAACTAAGGGTCAAAGTAAGGGTCTCAATATATCTCTCTATGTTATAAAAATCCAAATCGACTTCTCGTGACGAAAATTTGGGTCACAAGGGCTTGATTAACGGTCCAAATAAGGGTAACAAAGGTCTAAATGAGGGTCGCAAGGATCAGATTAAGGGTCACCAGGGTCAAAAAAGGGTCGCAAGGATCAGATGAAGCGTCACCAGGGTCAAAATAAGGGCCACGAGGGGTTAAATGAGGGTCAGTACAAGGGTCACGAGGTTCATATTAAGGGTCACAAGGATCAGATTAAGGGTTATGAGAATCAAATGGCGTTGGCGAGACAGATCGGGCGTAACCCCCAAGTTATAAATAAATAAAGACCTATAAAAATTCCAAACGTCACATACCACTCATTGATATCCACGCACGCCTCAACTTTGAGTGTGTAACAAATATCAATGAGACTGCAAACTCTTCCCGACGGGGGAATAGCTGGCACGTCGAATTCAGCATCATAATTCTCACAACTGCGTTGCACTGGCTGTTCAATCTCGACAACAATCTCTTTGTGTTTGCGTATATTATCCGCTGAATGATACACCACCACCTGTAATAAACACATAAAAATTCGGAAAAAAAATCAAACAAAAGGGAAAGGACAATTCAGTGGATTTCCGTGCGAGTTTATACGGGGATTCCCCGCTGTATTTGAAACAGGCAAATGGTCGTGTACATCAATTTGTCTCCCTCATTCGATAACTCTTAATTTCCCGGGCTATTTTGTAGGATAATAAAAATGACAAGGTAATGTTCATACCTTTTTGCACAGGATTCGTAGTTTTTTCACGTCAACGTTTGATTCGTTCTTCAAATTGATTTTTAGGGGGACCGTTTGGCCGGGAACGAAGCCACGGACGGGAATGAAGACTGACATGCTCAGGGGTTTTAGGTGGCCAGTGAAGGTCTTTGTGTGGCTCTCGCTCAGTGGTAACTGAAAATTTGACAAGTGGGTAATTGCAAATTTTGGGAGGAGTTTAGGTTTTGGGGTTTTTCAGTTCATTTTGACTCTGCGGTGATGATCAACGAGAGAATTTCCGTGGTAGGAATCGACGATAGAAACAGGGTTCAAGACCTGGACCAAGGCTTGGAAATGCTCAATCAGGGCTGGGGTTCAGCCCTCCTTCAGCCCCAAAATGATAACCTCGTTTCAGGCTTAGTCCATAAGGCTTGAACAAGGCTTGGTGCCAAGGCTTGATGCAAGCCTTGAATTACCAAATTTTAAAGGCACAATCGCGCTTCTTTTAAATAAACCATATTATTGTTTACGGATATTTGTTTAAATAATTTCTCATTACTTCATAATTCTTTTTATGAATTTACAGCAACTTACACGGAGAGAAATATTCAAGAAAAATTACGGAAAATTTCACGTAATCCGCAAGCGAGAATCGTTTTCAGTGAATTTCTATAGGAATATAAGAGAATAAATCTGAAACGTTCAGTAAATTTTCGGGTCTGTCACCGAAACAATACGAAAAGGTCACGTAATTTTTCTGGAAGTTGTAAAATCTAACAGAAACTTCAAGACTTATTATGCCTCAGAACATGAAAATTCTTGGATGTTTACGTGACGATTGACAATTTTTATCGAATTTTACTTCGCTCCCAGATTACGTTTCGAAACGTAATTTTTACGTCTTTTTTCTGGTGATTTTTATTGAATATTTCTCTCCGTGTATAGAAAAGATATAAGCCCCTTGTGTTATTTGTTCCTCCTAAGGAATCGTTTGTTCGTCCTCGATTATCAAACAATTAAACGAAAATTGATTGAGAAATGTTCATACTCCTATCAGGAAATCTACTGCCCTCAGTTATAAACGATAATCAAACAGAAATAAGATGATTCCGATATAAATCTCATTAGTGCGGTGCATTGAACAAGAAAATTATCACTCAATTCAAAAGAAAAACCTCACCGGTGCCAGTGAATGCTGATTCAAATAAAAAACAGGAGCAACAGTGAATGCCAGTGGCTCAGACGATATTCGTGAGTCTTTGGTAATTTCCAGTGTTGACTTAATAGAGTATCTCACTCGGCCGTATCGACCCTCGAAGCTGGACGGCAGTTTTTCTGGAAGATTGAAGCTGAATGAAAATCCATCACTCTTGATTTCTGCATCACCGGACTCGTCTGTGAAATGATTCAAAGTAGTTTTTTATCACGTGAAAACCAACATCTTTTTGAAGAGTTTTATAATGCCAGGGAGGAACTTACTTCTGGTTAAATAAATCTCCTCGCGGAGGTAGATTTCATGGGCGGAAACTTTCTTTCGGAAACCAGTTGATCGGTTTGTGAAATAGACCTGTCCTTCACCCTTACATTCCAATTTCACTCCTGGAAATATAGAGAATGGGGGGAGAGTGTTCATTGGGTCGGCGGATCAATGATAATTTGGCGATAGGATTTCATGTTGAGAGTTAAATAACAATAGTTTCATTATTTTGTTTCATTCTTTCGTTCCATTTATACAAGAATTTTTGGAAGAAATTGGACGCAATCGAGTAAACAAGAATTTTAATTCAATCGAACAAAATAATATAAAGAAGTAATATATGATTTCGTTGGAAAAAAATTGAAATTTCAACAATTTCTAAAATTTGAAATTGGCTAATGAATTTTGATAATTTTAATAATTTATCCATAACAACAGGGATGTAGAGTGCATTCCATGCATTCCTCATGCATTCATGAGGAATGAATGCATTTTTGCTTCCGAATGGAAGCTTTGTAATAATTCAAATTTAATTTTTGGATTTTTGGTGTTATATCCAATGCAATTTTTAAACCTCGTCCGTACGCGTGCAATTGTTCGCTAATGAGTGGGTGGAATTGAATCTTTTTTCCAAATGTAGGTATTGTTGAGCCCTATCGATCGCCAATAGTTAAAATTTAATTCAGTAGCGAAGTGGTAAACCGGTTTCAATCGATTTTGACTATTGACCAGTTTTTAGTGAATATCACGGAATCGCAGGGAGATAGCTAAATTTTTGTCTAAACCTTTTTTGCAGCACTCAATTTGCTCTAGAAAAAAGATCATTACGAAAATTTCATTACCTCCTTTAAATTCGGAGATATTCTTCAAAAACGCAACTAAGAGATAAGTCGACTTAAACTGTTTTACCACTTCGCTACTGAATTCATCGATTAGTTTTCTTAATTTTCGAATTTTTTCGAAAATCGGTTGTCCCACGATAACTAAAAAAAATGTTCTGAATTGATTGAATGATGGGTTAAAAAATTTGCTTGGATGTTCTTTTGACCGGGTTCGAAGATGAAGACGATAGCAATAATCGTTATTTTGATTTATTTGTAAATTTGCAAAATATTTGTATTTTTTGAAAATCAGAATTCCGGGGATATCTTTGAATATCATGCTTCAAATGAATTCAATCATAGTTCAAAATATTTGTTTTAATTCCATTAAGTCGAAGATAAAAGATGATTACGATAGCTATATTGGTTGATTTGATTTTTATGGTGATTGTTGAAAATTTCGAATTTTTCATGAATTTCCCTGAAAGTGAGCTTTCTGATGGTTTCTTCAAATGTGATGTTTCAAATTCATTCACGTATGTATAAATAAAATTTGTCTATTAACATTTTATCGAAGGGCTGAGGGGAGAGATAGAACCGTAAAAAAGACAATCGGTTGTGTAGAAGAAAGGGATAATAAGAATAATGATGATGATAACATTCAACTAAGTTGAAAATCTGACAAAATTAGTTGAAAAGAAATCGTATTCAATTTTATAAAATGAAATAAACAATGAATTATACATGATAGAAGGAAATGATGTGCAAAATTCCATTCGGAAGCGGATTGCTAATTTATTAGCAACAATAACGATATTATATGCAATACAGGAGCAATTTTCCACTTGTTTACAGAAAAAGAACTATAAAGCCATTCGGAAGCATATTTATAATTTATCATTAGAAATATTTATGCTGTATGAAGAGAAAAGCAATTGTCCATTCATTTTTCAAATAAATATTTTTCAAGAATTAAACTCGAGACACTTGAAAAATTCCCAAGTCCAGCTTGCAAATATTTCCCCTATTTTTTAATAGACAAAATATTTCCCCTATTGCTCAATAGGGAATACTAATTCAGCAACGAAGATCGCTTCAACTACCCAGTTATATATCGAACCGAACACATACCCATTCCGCTAATCGGTGAATTCAGTTGGAGTTGAACTTTTCCAGAGATAACTTGACCGGCGTAATAAACGTGCTGAGTTTTATCTAAAATTACTTCGAACAGTTGCAAGCCAATGCTGAAAGAGGCCCCCATCATCATTAACGACAAAAATTAGTGGCATTTTATGTTGAAAAAAGGAGAGAATACTTTACCCTTCTCCGGTGACAGTGTCACAGGCACTTTGATTATCCATTCCGTTTGGCTCCAGTGATTTAAACGTGCAATAGTCAGACACTGTACTGAATATTTGAGTGACTTTGTATCAGACAGATGTTCGACTCTACTTCACGGAGAGATCTTATTCGTGTCTGCTTATGCCGGGGATTTCTTGGATTCTACTTGAGGAGGGACACGCGTTGTTGGTGTGGAACTTTTGTTGACAACATTCCAAAATTCCAGCGCGGTCCAGGGCCGAGCGCATGCGTTCAACCGAATATTCGCCAATACCGGCTGGCGTCACACTGTCGGATGTCGCACAAAGAGAGTTTATGGTCTTTTGCCCTTGAGTTTTCTCGGGGTTGATGATGGTATCGTCGCCCCTTTCTTCGGGGAGATACGCATGACCTCAATAGCCATTCTCGGGAATTCATATGGCGAATCTCGGGGTTATTATAATCTTTTTCCGAGGGCTCGAGGGGGAGGAAAAAGTTATATGTTCCACGTGAGAATATTTGATGGGGTGGACCAGACTTACTTGAGGAAAATTAACCAACTTGACAGAAGGAAATTTCATATCTTTCACAAAAATTAAACTTTTTTCGTGATCATCAGAAATATCCCTAGAAGAATTCCAACTGTTGGTAGGAAAAAATATAATCTATTGTACGACAATCATTTGATCTGAGAGAACTCCACAGGTTTATACCATAGAAAAAAAACATTGACGAGGGAATCATATTGTTTTCTCAAAAAAAATTGTCCCCTCGAAATTATTTAGTTTTGCCAATAACACAGTTATCGGCAAGAAAATTGTAGTTTCATCTTGAAATTATCATTTGGTCCATGGAAATTATAAGTGTTTATTGGACAAAGATATACACAAGACATATAAATGTCTCACGAGAGCAATTACTACTACGAAAATGATCATGTTTTGGTGGAAACTTTCTTTTTTGTCCACAAGGAAATTAATTCAACACGACAAAAGATCTCTCCAGGGGAACATAATTTTTTGGCAGAAGTGATTTTAGTGTGGGATCGAATGCGTTAACAATAATTACGGTTTTAGGGATTTTTATGGGATTTTAGAAGCTTTTGGGAATATGTATAGAGTATTAGGTGTTTGTGATCTATTCAGTTTTGTTTTGTGCACATTCGTGCACTGAAAGTGCAAATTTGATAAAAAATGAATGGAAACTGTCAATTGCAGTTCAATTATTACATTTTCAATTCTATTCAACCGCTTAATTTATTACTAATCGATTATTTGGTCATAATACAATTTAAACTTTTTTATTTTATATAAAATAAATAGACCTTTGCGATGTAGACGAAAATGTAATTTTTAAACTACTTCATGATTTTTTTTTCAAAAATCAAACTTTCAATTCCTTTGAAATTTCCAAACTGTATAAAATCATTGCATACGCTCCACTACAGTTCCGAAAATGTATTTCACCAAAAAAAAGGCTGAAGTCGACTCACTTAAGCATGATTTATTGCACGAAAAAAATTTAAAATAACGTAATGTTTAGAAAATGAATTTCATCCGAAGGACTCCGAATAAAATATTCTCAACAGCAACATCACTAGTCATCTTGATTATCTCCATTACTCCCCTCCTTCTCCTCCTTATTATCACGTTTTCCAGTTACCGCCCAGAAAACCAAGTACAGCTAGTTACACTCATGATTTATGCGAGTGTATCTCCTGAGAATCCACGAAATGCGGTGGACACGCAAGAGGTAATAATAGTTTCTTGCAGATGTGTATGCACTTTTAGTCGCATGGGGGAGTGTAAAAGAACGCATAGCTGGTGACATCGTAAATAATCCTGGGACTAATTGTTCCCATTTTATTTACCTCACCCAGAAAAATAATTCATTTGAATCAAATAAAGAAGTTTATTCAAATAGTTCTAAATAAAGTTTTTGATATAAAAGTTTTTTATCTCTATTAGAGATTCTGTTTATATTGAATCAATGTTTTTTATTATTAATAAACGTTTTATTTGAAAAGAATAAATTCTTGAGTCGATTTAGGCCTCAGCTGAGTTTTTGAGGAATATCTCCGAATCTAAAGAACATAACGAAATTTTTGTAGTAACCTTTTCTATAGGGCGAATCGAGGGCTCCAAAAAAGGTATTAATAAAAATTTTGCTATCTGGGAATAAATTGTTCACATTTTTATTTGTCTCAAATGAATTATTTTTCCGGGTGAAATGCACAATTACCATTTGACCTCCAATTGGCCAGTGCTGCTCGTTCGATTCGTATGCAAGTTTTTTTTTTAATTTCAGTTCCTCTTCTATGCATACGAGGCTCAGATAAATATGACAAAGGTGCATTCCGCAATCAGATTGAAACTCTCAGAAATTATTGATGCACTTTTTACATCCGGCGGTGGTAGCCGTTATCATTGACAGTTAATATCAGTAAATCACCTCGAAAATAATGATAGCTCGTGGGAATTTTCGGCCGAAGTTAAATATTCATATTTGCGAGAGGAGAATTTTCGTAATTTCGAATATTTCAGGGTGCAAATCCAATGTACATGAATTTCGGCATCGGGAATCGAATCATAAATTAACGGTGAGAGGTACGTGGGAGCATGGGGGATTGTTGATACATACAAGAGACCTAATTCGCTGCATTGTAGTATCAACGGTTCGGACAATGGTGGAAAGGGGGAGGGCAAATGGAGTTAGTTTCCGGAGAATGCTTGTCGGGGCAGCCTTTACGCACTAACAACGGGCGAATGTTAGGGGAGGCTGTAGTGTCAGTCGTGATCAGTCATTAAAACGGTATTTCAGGCTGGTTGATAATTGCATGTCACATTTCGCGCGAAAATCCGTGAAATAGTCATTCAGTAGTTTAAGGAGATCCAAGTATCGCCAAAATTTTTAATATGAACGAATTTGTTACAATTCCGCACAAATAATTTTTATGGTGAAAAATTGATTGATTATAAATTATTTATCGAAAATGATTGTAATTTTAAAAAATTGCAATTTCTTCATTACTTTATCAGAATAATTTAACCAACAGTAAACTTAAGATTTTTTTTTTCATTTCTAAAATGTTCTCTAACGATTCAATATTGAAATGAAAATTTACATATGCAAAGATTAAATAATAAAATAATTGTTTAAACTTTCGGAAACCTTATTTTTTTAAACATGAAATTGGTTTTGTGGTAAAATTCTGAATATTAATAAATTTGTTATAATTCCGAAGAAATAATTTTAATGGTGAAAAATGGCTTGTTTATAAACTATTTATAAAAAATGGTCGTAGTTTAAAAAAATTGCAATTTCTTCATTGTTTTATCAATGAAAATTTAGATGTGTAAAGTTTAAATAATAAAATAATTGTTTAAACTCTCGGAAACCTCATTTATTTTCAATTCTGAATATTAATAAATTTGTTACTGAATAAATTTATTAATGAATTCAATCCTTTGTGTTATTATTCATTCTCCCCACGAAAAGGATTATCATTACTTTATGTAATTAAAAAAGTGCGAACACCAGAAAACCCTCAACAATGCCGACGTCATCCCATGATGTTCCACTCGCCCATAATTTTTTAATGACAAACATTTGTTTGCGAAAATTCAGCAGCGTGATTTTTCGCTCAACGGCAGTTCTCAGTACAGCGTAAACATCCTTTCACATTAAAATTTACCCAGGGCCCCCGTATAATTGGAAACGACGTGTAGAGGATAGAGAAAATTCCCCAAGGATTGAATCGTGATCGACACTATTGCATCTGACGATGCGATAATTTCATCAATCCACTTTAAAAAAATCCAGTGTAACGATTTCTGAAGCCCCTATTCCGCCTATCAAGTAATGTGATATTATGTCTATGTATATTTTTTCATATACTGTAATTTATTTAATAATTGAAAAAATGAAATATAGTTCTGTACTATAAAAAAATGCATACATCTATAGTAGGTATATATATAATATAATATATAATATATAAAATATAATATAATATATAATGGTAAAACCATTATATATTATATTATATTTTATATATTATATTATATATAATATAATATATAGCAGATATATTATACATATATGATTTATACTTTCATTTTTTCAACTGTAAAAAAATTTATAGTTCTGTAAAAAAAATAGATATATAGGATAGTATGATATATAGGATAGTATATGTATAAAGTACATAATACATCCCTAAAAATTAATAAGAACGTAAAAAGTAAAAGACAAACGAAGAAGAAGATGAAGAGGATTATAACGATTCCGAATAAATTATTCAACAATTAAATTCTCATTCTGAAAAACTTTGTTGAAGCCATTCATTTTTTCTGCATTATTATTATTGAGATAAAAAATAATGAAAGTGAGAAACGGTAAGGTTTTACTATTCTGGTACCCATGGAAAATAATACGCGCGCGAAGCGCGCGCCCTTTTCTAGTAATATTAAAAAATTGCTAATCACGAAAAAAAACAATTCTATTCAATTTAGATGAATTATTTTTTGGGGATTCTTCCCGTTATTATTCGCCCCCCCCCCCCCCCC